CTTTCAGCAGGGGCGTTTCCAAAAGGGGTGGCATGGGCCCCCCTTGAAATCTTAATGGCCACCCCAGGTGCCACCCCAAAATCTCAAAAACTCTGATTGGCTATTTGCCTTACCAGATGTTGGACTTATGTTGAAATCCACTTTTCAGGTTGTGTTGCAACAGGCAGCTCCTAGTTCTCAATGTTTTTAAAAATGTAAAGATGTTCATGATGTGTTGCCATTATCTTGTGTTACTAAACGTTGATGTGATTAGTGCAGACAGAAAGGGTAAATAAATGCTCTTCATTCATGTGAATGCGCACCAACTTCAGGCCACCCCTGCAGAGGTCAGTGCCCCAGTTGGGCCACCCCAGTGTAAAAGGTCTGGACACGCCCCTGTCTGTCAGTTTAATATGGTCATAAAACATTCTGAAAGTAAGTGAACTATAAAGTCTGAAGCGTATTTAGATCGTTGCCCACTGGTCACTTGTTTGAATAAATCCATCCATGGAGAAAGTCTAAAAGCATGTAGACCCAGACTGATCAAAGACACCAATGAGAGGAAAATGTGATTTGAATCCATTAATAGAAAAGAGCTGAGAGAATTCTGCCTCAGGTCCCTGAAGCTTCACTGCTCAGGCTAATCGTTCAGACAGAGTTCATCAGGCAGTAAACTAATCTTCATGAGACACACAGAGCAGCAGAGTTTATACCTGCGACAGGTGAACTAGCTTCTGACAATACTGCGTCTGTTCCTCGTCTCTTTCTCACCAACAAACAACAAACTGGTCTCTGCTCTGCTCCTTCAGGTGGAAATCCCAAACATCCAGAAACAAAGGAAACATTTAGCCAAGCTGGTCCTGGACATGGACTCAGCGCGCACACGGTGAGTGTGTGTGTGTGTGTGGTGTGTGACTGTGTGAGTGTGAGAAAGACACTCTGCTGTGATTTGAGAAACTCCATCCCCTGTGAGTGAACTGGTCCTGGAGCTTCCCAGTGAATGTCACTGGGATTTGATTGCACACCAGGAAAGTTTAAACCATGAATGACTGAACATTCTGTCATTCATTCAACCTTCACTTATACTCAATCATTGACTATTGAGATAACATAATGAGCATTTTTAAGTATTTTCTGGGGAACACACTGAGTCTGCGGCTCTTCATGCTGTTTAACTGAATCTTCATCGTCCTCCTGAGGTTTAATTATCTCGACCACTGACTGATTTAAGCTCAGCCTCGTTGTAGAAAACGATTAACGCTTCTGCTAAATGATTTCTCACAGGTAATTATAGCAAAATGTACCAAAAAACATTCTGCATCTTTTCTCCATTAAAGGCTTAATACTTAAATGTAAAATAACTCTGTGAGTCATGACTGTCTACAATGGGTGTAACACCCGAGTCCCACTGTCTGTGATGTTTTCAGAGTTTTCAGAGTCCTATCTTCACGTTGTTTACATCGCCCGGACGGCCGGCTGACTCCTCCCCTCGTGTATAAAAGTTGTTTAATTGAGGGACTAGAGAAAAGAAGAATAACATACTGTACTCACTGCTTAACTGTGTTTCTAGATCACGCTCATTTCAGGTAAATTTACATGCAGTGTGAAGATACCAGCATAATAAAGATCACTAGCATTAGCATGCTAACACAACTATGCAGCGCGAGTTGTTTTGGTTTCATGCTGGTGCTCAAGGGCGACATCTGCTGGATCAAAAAAATCACATATAAAGCCTTTAATGCTCTGTGATGTGTTTAAGTGGCTTTCATTTTGAAAGTTGTGTTGTTGACTTTTAACCTCAGACTCTAGAGGAGGCGGGGAGACCTGGTGAGGGGGTGATTGTGCTGAGCGAACCTGAGGAAGCTACAAGCGAAACGCGATGTTAGCTCACAATAAAATGCAGTAAAGTTATTTTCATTGAGCCACAGAGTTTTGATTTATTTTTCATGGTATTTTCCTGCAACCTGAGAACGTATAGGCTGTGTGCGGCGTACCCTGTCGGCCATTTAGTCCTGATCTTGAAAGTTGGAGTCATCATGTCAGTGCAGATTTGTTCTCCTGTAGTAAAAGGAAAAGTTTAAAGAACTGAATCAAACAAAACAAAAACATGTTTTTTTTCCCCACTTGTTTTCCGTCACTTCTGTGCCGTTTTAAGCAGAAACTTGGAGAAATTAGATTTTCTTCTCTGCAGGCCACTCAGTCAGTCAGAGAGTTTTTTTTTCTTCTCAGTGACCCAAATCGGAGACAACTTTTCCCATCATGCCGCTGTGTGCTGAGCTCCTCTGGCAGCGTGACATTTTTATCTCCACCCGGAGAGAAAGTCTCAGACGGACAGAGAGGGAGGGAGGGAGGGATGTAGGGGGGAATAGCTGAAGCTGAATGAATGAGGAAATGTAGATAGTGAAAGTGTTTTCATTTTATATGCTGAAGAATCCTTAAAAAAAAGTGTTTTGTTTGCTGTGAGTCGTGTTGTTAGCGTAGCTGTCAGGTTCTGTTGTTGATGAAAAAATCATTCTCTTCAGTTTAACATGCTGTGTTCATCAAATCCAGACAGAAAACTGATCAAATGTTTTTTTTTCAAAAAGTGATGTTTTTTTCTGTCCTCAGGTTTTATCAGTCCACCAAGTCGTCGGGACTTTCCACCAACCTGCAGCCGACGGGAGCCAAGGCCGACCACCTCAGGGAAGAGATGGAGGAGGCAGCCAACCGCATGGAGATCTGTCGAGTCAGTCGTCACCTTCACTCTCGAACCACTCACTGTTTTCTTCTTCAGTATAGCATACATACAGTATCCAATAATTACAGTGACTGATAATGATGCAGAGAAACAGAAAATCGCACCATTTTTTAAAGATATTATTTGGGGCTTTTTTGGCTTTATTGGACCAGACAGCTGAAGCGAGGCAGGAAATGCTGTGGGAGAGTGTGTGGGATGACATGCAGCAAAGGGCCGAGGTCAGATTTGAACAAACGGCCGCTGCAACGAGGACCGTAGCCTCTGAACACGGGATGCACAACATAACCGCAAGGCTATTTAGCACCCGGAGAAGATCACATAATTGAAAACAAACAATATTTAGAGGATTTGATTGCACATTGAGGTGAAGTGGTTTAAGATCATTGTCTTAATTTCTCCAATAAAAATAAGTGCTAATGCTTAATCTAAAACACCAACAGGACTCTGAAGCAGGAGAAAACAAACCTTAAAGAAATACATTCATAACTAATGTGCTGTGAAAACAGAAACATTGCAAAAGTCAAATGCGTAAAAACCTTCAAATATAAACGCAACTTTGAACTCTGCAACAGCAGCGCTCCTAAACTGAAGGATTCAAGACTACTCAGAACTGGATTTGGTGGGAGATTCTCTCACACAGGAGCTTTTAGGGCGCCAGGTCAGAGATCGACAGCAATGCCATGGTAACAGGGGAAATAATCACAATCACACCAAACCACTCAAAGATACCAACAATTATCTTTTTTTGATTCTCAAAATCATGAGAGGAGAGGAGAGAGGAGAGAGGAGAGGAGAGAGGAGAGGAGAGAGGAGAGGAGAGGAGAGAGGAGAGGAGAGGAGGAGAGGAGAGGAGAGGAGAGGAGAGGAGAGGGGAGGAGAGGAGAGGAGAGGAGAGGAGAGGGAGGGGAGGAGAGGGGGAGGAGAGGAAAGGAGAGGAGATGACAGAGGAGAGGAGAGGAGAGGAGATGAGTATGTATCCTTAAATAAACAGTGTTTTCTTGGTTCCACACTCCCTTTACAGTTTTTAGATACAAACGTAAACTAAACCATGTACAGTGTATTTCTTTGTTTTTCTGGCAAAGATGCCCCGCCTACCTCTTTCAAAACCTTCTAAAATATTACCCATGGACCGTGGGGGGTTCACCGCTGTGGGTGTGTGCCAGCCTATCAGTCTCTGCTCAGCTGTGTTTGGCAGTGTGTGTCAGAGTGGGATAATCAGGTGTGGACACAGTTGGGAAAGATGGAAAATATGAGTCTGTGTGGCTCTGCAGGAGCAGCTGACAGCACAGCTGTGGGTAAATCTGTTTTTATATATCTGCTCACAGCTGTAGGTGTGGTCCATTTCACAATCATGGACATGATACTTTAACACAGCACGGGACTGAAAAATGCCCCCGGCGACCACTGATGATGTCACCTTTGGAAAAACGTGTAATTCAGCAATCGACATCATGACGACTACAGAATTGTGCATAATAATAATAATAATAATAATAATAAAACAGACAGACTAAATCTCCCAGCCCCATGACCACACACACAACCCAGGGAAAGCTACCTATATTAAGGATTTTACATTTGTTGTAATTGGAAAAGTCGATAATTAAGAAGGCTAGCATGAGCTAACCGCTAGTGTTAGGCCCCTGCCTGTCCTACAGAAAGCAAACACAACTCCCGACCTCTGTATAAGTCAACCTGAGGTTCACCCTCGCTTTATCCTCGAGGTGTTTAACCTCCATCGGGGATAATCTGCAGCTGTGAGGAGCATGTGTGAACAGCCAGGTCGGGATAATCTCCAGAGCAGTCCTCCTGAAATTCATCTAGATATTATCTGGAGAGCGTATGTGCAAACGGCTTATGATTATATTTTCCATTCTTTGCTGCTACATTGGCATCATGCAATCCAATCGACCAAAACATGAGAATCCAGTCAGAGGACAGAGTCTCTGCAGACACAGTCACCACCACACATGTATGGAGGCCCAGAAGTGATCGTGGAGTCTGTATTTGACTGCTTTGACTCTCTCTTTAATGACTCCTCAGCATGTTTGATATTTGATTGAGAGTCTTTTTCTTCCTTGTTGCTCATGCTTTTTGTTTCCCTTCCCCTGCAGGATCAGTTATCAGCAGACATGTACAGTTATGTGGCCAAAGAACTTGACTATGCAAGCTACTTCCAGACAGTAAGTCCACCACGCTGCTGCATTAGCGAAGAACAAGAAAATATGTTTGTCTGCGTCTGACTCTCTCTCTCTCTCTCTCTCTCTCTCTCTCTCTGTAGCTGATAGAAGTGCAGGCTGAGTACCACAGGAAGTCATTAGAGCTGCTTCAAAGTGTTTTACCACAGATCAAGGCTCATCAGGGTGAGTCTGAGTCCAAAACACTCACGATGCAGTCTGTTTGTGTCTTCATGTCTCTCCTCTAACGGCACGCTGACATCCTCTCTGTTTGGGTTTATGATCATCTGTTGACAGTTTGGGGTCCTCGCTGTTGGAGGTTTTTTCTGTTTTACAATTCAACACTTCAATCACTAAAATCAGATCATGCAAACACAGCCTTCATGTGGAAAGTCTTAATATAGCAAAAGGGGGAAGTTAGACGCAGGGCTGGCTGAGGAGGGAGACCTCTGATTGAAACGTTTTGATTGTGAATTTTAACTTTTAAGTGTGTGGGCATAAAGTCTTACCATAGTACTACATCTGTTGTGCATGTTTTAATATCTGTGTGTGTGTGTGTGTGTGTGTGTGATTGACAGAGACCTGGGCGGAGAAGCCATGCTACGGGAAACCATTAGAGGAGCACTTAGCGCTCAGCGGGAGAGATATTGCCTTTCCCATCGAGGCCTGTGTCACCATGCTGCTGGAGTGTGGCATGCAGGAGGAGGTGAGGGAGCAACACACACACACACACACACACACACACACACACTGCATCCCTCACACACACACACACACACACACACACACACACACACACACTGCATCCCTCACACACACACACACACACACACACACACACACACACACACACACACGCGGTCCAGGCTTCTGTTTGGTTTCTTTAAAGTAAATTTGCTTCGAGCCTGAAACAAATCATCCTCGCCTGAGTAATTAGTGATGTAAGAAACGTAATCAGGCCGGCGAGCTGAAGCCGGCGCTGCAGCAGACGACTGTTTAATGAAGAAACAGTGAGGGTACACTAAACGTGATCCATCAACAACGATGAGATTAAAAGAAAATAACAAACACATCATTATGAATAAGTTCATTTCCATTCTGCAGTTATTAGGCTTAATATGTTTGCTGAGTGGATTTTAATTTCATCTGAAGCTAAAGATCAATTCATTTCTGTCGCTGGATAAACTGTTCGTTAATTAGCGGGCGAGTTTATGGTCCGAAAAGTTTTGCAAGTAAGACACGTTGAAAAATGACATGAAACAGAGCATTTTTCTCTGTGTTGTAAGACTTCTGCAGACCACAAACAAAGGACTGGATGGGTTTATTTCACATGTTGTGGGTCAGTAGAAACTCAGGTTACACAGATATATGTTCAGAAACACTGTAGAAGTGGATTTTTCAGAATATGTCTCCTTTAAAGAAAAAGAAAACAGGTCTTTCAAGGCAGGGTTGGTCATTTCCTCCAGATCCACTTCTTAAAATGTTGACGCATTGTCCATCTTTATTTACAGCCAGTGGCTCCAACATTCAAAGGTTCCCCATGGAAAGAAGACTCTCATTTAACACCAATCTCCTCCTTTTGATTTTTAAGATCTTCACTTCCTGACTGTTGATTTGGGATTGGACTGCGGTTTTATATTCTCTGTCATATTTTTTTTTTACTTTTTCCTTCTCAGGGTTTGTTCAGAATCGCTCCTTCGGCCTCCAAACTAAAGAAGCTGAAGGCGTCTTTGGACTGCGGGGTGATGGACGTCCAGGAGTACTCTGCAGACCCACACGCCATCGCAGGTGAGATACTTTCAGCCGAACACCTCCACCCCCCCCACCCCCCCACCCCCCGGCTTCATGTAATCTGCTGCAATGTCGGCTGATTACCATCGTCTGGAAATGGGAAACCTTCCTCACAGGGGTAGATTTATGAGTTGGCACCATTTGCTCGTTAGGAATCTAATTTTCTGCGCAATTTCTGGCGACGGCTGCGTGCGAGTGAGACGCCTCGTCCTGCCACCTTCACATCCACACGGAGGAGAAAAAACAGATTAAGGACTGGACGTTGTGATTAAGCTTCTAAATGATCTGAACGTGGCCTGAATCAGACTAACTCTTCCTGTTTATTGCTCCTGCACATTTTAAGTATCCTGCAGCGGTCGTTGATAAAGCTCCTCCTGAATGATGATGATGATGATGAGTCTTCTAAAAGAGGGGCTCCCAAACTTTTCAGGTCGTGACCCCCAAATACAAGGCTTCCTCCCACAGTCCAAAGACATGATCGTTAGGTCAACTAGAGACTCTCAAAAGGTGTGAATGTGAGTGTGGCTGGTTGTCTGTCTCTATATGTCAGCTTTGAGATTGACTGACGATCAGTCCGCCTCTCAACCAATGGCAGCTGGGATCGGCTCCAGCATTCCCTTTGCGACCCCGAACAGGAAAAGCAGTAAAGATAATGGATGGATAGGACAGCTAAAGAGAGACAGGAAACGTTGGGAGGAGAGAGTGCAGATGGTATGCAGCAACCCGAGAAGATCAGACGATTGAAATAAACCAAAACCAACAATATTTAGAGGAGTTGATCGCACACTGAGGTTAATGACAGCTGGGATCGGCTCCAGCACCGCGCGACCCTGAATGGGAAAAAGCGGTAGAAGATAATGGATGGATGGAGGCATCTCGCGACCCCCCTCTTGGTGGATGGCGACCCCCCCCCCAGGGGGAACCACTGTCCTAAAACATGAGAGTTACAACTTATGAGCTTTTCAGGATTCAGTTATCGTTGCTCGTTGTGAGTCAGCAATAAAAAAACAGACTTTGTCTTTCTCGTCTTCTATGTTTCTGTTATATCCGACACATATTCAGTAAGCCGTCCCAAAAAAATGTCTGGTGATAAAATTCCAAATATAACCGGGATTAGTGTCAGACCGGTTCTTCATCTTCTGCAGAGGCGGCAGCAATAAAAAAAAAATAAAGAAAGATGTTTTGTTGTTGCTGTCACTGCTTCGCTCTTTAAATCAGAACAGTGATAGAATATAAAAGAAAGAAAAAGCTTTCAAGCTTTCATGCTGCTGTTATTGATCTTTTTTTCTTTGGAGAAAAGTGTTTGTCTTCAGTGGAGCCGACTGCTGCATAATGCACTCGACAGATGAAAACAATACTACTCAAAAATAACCGACTTTTAAGGAGCTATGGAAAAATGTTTTTTAGCTGTGGAGCTGTGCATTATTGATAATAATGCCTTGAAAGAAAAAAAAATTGGTGCAGAGTTTTGCATAAAGGATAAGTTACTGAATAAGTTTCTCCGATCTCATGGGACGAGAGCGTATAATTTAAAGACAGATTTAGTGGTGAGGCAGATCTTGAGTGTTTTCTTTGAAATGTGAATTTGAGCACAGATTCCTTCGTCCTCTTTTTTCTCAACTTGTTACTCCGGCTGCTTCTGCCCTGCTCGTGATCCCGACTTCTGTGTGTGCTGCTTTTTGTAGAGACCCTCAAGACCCTCTCATGAGACCTAGACAACTTTGCACTGTGTCATGTCATGCCGAGTCAAGTCGTGCCCTGACGATATCGTGTCAAGCTTTGCCAGTTCCTATCGTGTTGTGTGGTATCATATCGTACCATATCTGAAAAGTGGCTCAACACCTTGATAGATTCTAACAGCCAGCGGAGGGTAACTCCACTGGTCCTAAAAATATGTCCAATTGTATCAAAGTCTTGAGCCTGTTACTGTGACCTGTATCAATATTTACCTGATGAGTTCATAGTTTTATCTGCTGGTTTGAAGTCTTATTTAACAAATCAACGATGTTAATTTATTAAACTATATGGCCCCATATCAAGAAACAAGGAAGAGCAAAGCAGGATATGCCTACCTGAGATTGACAAGTCATCACCAATGGGACACAAACATGAAGATATTAATAATTTAAAGTTGACGTGAATGTGTTTCTTTGCTTTAAAAAAGCTGTTATATTTGATGTGTATATCATGTGATTGCAGGGCTTCATTTTTATTATTTGCAGATTTTTTGGTTAAAGTCTTTCTATGTGATTTTTCACACTTAAATATAAATCAAGTATATCCTCTGAAAATAACTCTGTGAGTCATGACTGTCTACAATGGGTGTAACACCCGAGTCCCACTGTCTGTGATGTTTTCAGAGTTTTCAGAGTCCTATCTTCACTTTGTTTACATCGTCGGGACGGCCGGCTGACTCCTCCCCTCGTGTATAAAAGTTGTTTAATTGAGGGACTAGAGAAAAGAAGAATAACATACTGTACTCACTGCTTAACTGTGTTTCTAGATCACGCTCATTTCAGGTAAATTTACATGCAGTGTGAAGATACCAGCATAATAAAGATCGCTAGCATTAGCATGCTAACACAACAATGCAGCGCAAGTTGTTTTGGTTTCATGCTGGTGCTCAAGGGCGACATCTGCTGGATCAAAAAATCACATATAAAGCCTTTAATCTGACTTCAAAAGCTTCTCAGTTCACTTTTCAGCCTGATACCATAGGAAGACGGAGATTCAATATTTCCCCCATCACTAACAATATGTCCCTTTCTCAAATATCAAATCAGAGTCAATCAGCTGTGTTCAGTGGAGCGTGTGGAGAAAGAGAGGAATCCTCGGATCCCTCCTCTAATGATCCCATATCAAACTGGGTTAGCTCCAGCAGCAAATCTAATTTGTGGTCTTGTCCCACTGGGGGTGGTCCTGGTCGTGATGGGCGAGGGGTGGGGGGGTCGGCCTCGATGAGAAGCAGAAGAAGGCTTTCTTTGGAAATAAAAGCAAACTAAAAGAGCTTCTGCGGTATTTTCAGCGAGCTTTAATGTGCTTTTAATGTGTTTATTCAGCACAGAGTGTGACATGGCTGCACACACACACACACACACACACACACTCAGACTAACACACACGTTTCACACACACACGCTCAGACAGAACGACAGCAGCCTCCGAGCTGTCTCTCAGTGAGGGATGCCCCGGCTCTGTTGTTTGTCATCCATCCCACACATCCCCGAGGGGGAAATGAAACTCACCAGACCAGAGAGAGCGAAGAAGAAGAAAAGAGACGAGCACACAGAGAGAGAGAAGCCCAGTCAGCCGTCACCGTCCTCATCAGCGCTGGAAAATTACACTCCCACACACGGGGCGTTGATGAAAACGTGTTTGGAAATAGTTCTCTTGTTTATTTTAGATCGGTCGTGGAGCTCAGAGTAGGAGGGAGACTGTTTTCTGTGTCTCATCTCTGAACTGTCAGGGAACAAGAAAAACGATATTGTAAAAGAAAGAATAATTCAAAAACAAAAATGTTTGAAAATATTTTTGTGTGTTTTCTGTAATTCATGCTCCGGGCGGTTTCTGGTGACGGGGTGAAAAATAAAATCTAATACTCATAATGCAACGACATGGCAAGGGGCGATGCTGAAGCAGCCTGAGACACTATGAGCTCATGCAGCGATATATATTTATATTTCATGGGAACATGAAGCATGGGAACATTTAGCTTGTATCTGTTATTTTGTCCTCTGCAGGTGCTTTGAAGTCGTACCTGCGGGAGCTCCCGAGCCATTAATGTCATATGAGCTCTACAACGACTGGATCCAGGCCTCCAAGTCTGTATCTCCTCCCTGCCATGTTTTTCTATACAATAATCGGTGATCGTTGTGACCGTTTTTCAAACTTTATCTTTGTGGATGTTTTTGTTTTTCTGTCGTCTTGCAGCATTCAAGATCAAGACAAGAGACTGCAGGCTCTTCTGAGCGCCTGTGAGAAACTTCCACCGGCCAACAACAACAACTTTAAGTGAGTCATTGTTTCCACGTTTCTCTCTCTCTCTCTCTGTCTTTGTGGTCCCGTTTTTCTTTCTTGTGTTGCTTTATTCATCCAGGACAGCGGGGAAGATGACCAGCAATGATTCACATTGGACCAAGATCAAACAGTTTACTCTGAAATACATGTTCAACAGGATTCAGTTTCACAATCATCCTCGACTTCAATCCCACTAACAGTTTATCAACTGCTGCAAAAAGCGGTTTAGTTCTTGACTATCTTAAAGGAGCAGTATGTAACTCTGACACCTAGTGTTTAAAATGGGTGCTGCAGTCTAAATTCTAAACATTGTAGAGAGCTGTCTACCCTACGCCTACCTTCTCTGGTCCAAACAAATCCAGAGCATTCAGGAGCAGAATCTAAAGTTAGAAGGAGGACATACTGGCTGCTGCATTGTTGTCAGAGAAGCCAGCACTTCAACATAGCATGTTTCCTTAATGATCAGATAGTGAGATACCTTTATCATCTCACTCTCTACACATCTCGACCTTCAAGTGGGACTAATTTGTGATGAATTCTGGATGGAACAAGGCTTTACTTAATTAAAAAATGTAACAAAAAACATGGCTGACTCAGTAACCATATCAGACTCTGCAGCTCTGTTCACTCCTGCAGAAAAATGTTTAAATATTGTAAAGTTAAAAGCACATTTTTAAGGGGTTTTAAGAGAGAGCACACAAACAGACAAGTAAAGGAAAAAACATTTAACTATTTAATCAAAAAGGCTTGTTAGAAAACTAGAATTCTCAGGTGCTGCAAGCAATTGACCTAAGACAGCTGACAGCAAAAGCTAAAAATTGATGCATGCTTTTTATTGGCAGACTCCCAATCTCCACACTCAGAGTTCTCACTGTCACGTCCCTGCTAAGTGTGTGAGTGCTTAGGACTGTCCCACTGTCAAACCATCAAGTACTGAGTACTATATGACGCCAAATTATGCACTGTCAGCAATTCGGCTGTCTGCAGACTCTCCTGTGGGACTGACCCAGAGGTCATTACTAACTAGGTGACATCTTAGAGCCTCCCTCCTCCGCAGACTGAGCCGACCTGAGGGGGTCTTTGCTGTTTTTAGTTAAATGTGTTTTGGTTAGCAGGAGGGGAGGGTTGGTAATACCACGGCTCCACCAGCCGGTGTGTCTAACACTAATTAGACTCTAACTCAACATGATGTCAGCACCCATCTTAAGGGGTTTTTTTGGCTTCACTTTTGATCATCAATGGCGGTAACTCATGATGCTATTAGATCCACACAGCACCGCCCACCGTGTTCATGTTTTAGTTGTGATTTCTGTTTTTGTAGCGTTTTTTTTCTTCTAGACGCTCTTAATCTGCTTGTGTTTTGAATATTTACGAGCAGCAGTGTCTCGGGCTCTAAATGCCACTCCACATTTTCCTGTGAAAACTCGGCAAACACTGAAGCGTAAAATCTCCGCTCAGCAGAGACCAGCAGCAGATCTGTGATTCTGTGACTTTTCCTCTTGGTGGGACTAAGGATTACTTTCAAACGTCGACTAAACCAAACCTCCTTTCTTCTTCTCTTACGTCCTAAACATTGTCAGAAAACCACAAATTAGAAGTCTCTGCTTAATCTTTCTTGTCATACGGTGTTGCAAGTCAGCAGGTGTCTCTCATGGTTACTATGGAA